GTTGCTGTGTCATCTGCTATGTGCCATGCACTACTTGATGTACCAGCCTGCTATGCCGGATACCGCCAACCATGCATCGACCAGGCGCCAGGCGCGAACTGATGGTGGTGGTGGTGAGAAGGAGAGCTCTGTGCCAGAACTGTGTAGCCTAGAGAGCGTGTGTGGGCAGGCGTGTGTTTACCGCCATATTGCCAGGAGTATTCAAATTGTTTTTATACTTCCAAGTAGTTTACTGAATTCGTTTGATGATGTGTGCAATTTATTTTGCCCGTACAAGAGGCTTTATTACTTAAGCTTCATATTCCTAGATCACTATTCTATTGGTCATATCATGCATGGTTAAAGGGGAACTTAAGGCAAAAATTAAAATTTCACCAGTTGTAGTCTTCGGGGTGCTGAGTCGAACGGTCTTGGTCCGAGAAAGCTGAGACGCTCCTGTTTGCGCCGGTATTCTCACTCACAACACAGAGTCTGAGGTTTATAGAATATTATCACTAGGAGAAGACTGTATCCATTGCAAACTGATTGCAATACTTCAAAAGGCTAGCTACTACCTGGTAGTAACAGAAACAGCCAAAGACAAAGAACCTAACAACTGCACCAGCAAGCTCTTTCCTTGCACTAACTACAAATACATCAAAATCAAGCAGCAAAATGCAAATCCGCACGCGTGTTTGCCGGAACTGAACTTCCGTAGCGCAGCTGATCATTGCGGCTGCACGGGACGACCATCCCACCACAGTAGGGCAAAGAACTATGCATGGAACTAGCAAAGAATGCATGCAGCACACCAGCATGCTGTCCCTACGCAGACGTCCAGTCTAGCGTGAGCAAGGATGAATAGCATGAGAAACCAGCGGGTGTAGTATGAAAGGCAGTGCAGCAGTTATGAATAGGGACATCAACAGGACACAACACACAGTAGTCATGCGCAGGCTGAGGTAACTGAGGGCCGGGGAACAGTACAGACATGTGCATAACAGCACCTAGGTTTACTACTACCCAAGGTTATTCATGTCTTGGTCTAAACTGAGCAAGTTACTAGTGGAGATCTGTGGGGTGACTTGGTCGTACCAACATCCTCCCCCCGGTGACGTCTTCAAGCGTCACCCTCTTTTCAGAACGTCCAGCACACAGATCTTTGACACCGGCCTGCGGTATGTCCCGGACGCTGTCTTGACGTCCGCCACTCTGACATGTCCATCGGTGCCGGGATAGACGGCCGTAATGGTACCTTTTGGCCAGCTGCCTCTGGGTAGGTCTCTGTCGGCAATCACGACTATGTCATTGACCTTGACTTCTTTCTGCTGTCGCTGATGCCACTTCGTCCTTCTCGTCAAAGTCGGCAGGTATTCATGCAGCCACCTCCTCCTTTTCCCAGCACGAAAGCGACCTGGGCACTCCCGTCGGCGAAGGTGACTCTGAGGTAGGCTGCAGCCGCAAAGGCCGACTCGCTGGCGTCTCCAAAGACGTGTAGTTGAACTTGGGCTCTCTTGATCATATCTTCACTGTAGGGGCGTGGCACAGACAGCTCGCTCAGCTTGAGTAGCATTTGCCACCACTCTTTCCAGCGTGTCACGAGGTCATCCGGTAGCGGCTGGTCCCAGCTGACTCCGGTGCGCCATATCCGCTGGAGAAGTACCTTTGCCGATACCGTGTGAAACGCCAGGTAGCCAAGCGGATCAAATACTGACATGCACATGCGTAGCACATGTCGCTTTGTCGGCTGCGTCACTTCTGCTTCTTGTGTCACCAGTCGTGCACTTAGCTTGAAGCTGAAGATGTCCTCCCGCGGGATCCATTTGAGGCCAAGGGTCTTCTCGGTCGGGGTGGCCGTATCGCCGCTGTCGATCGTGAGAGCGCTGTCGGACCTGAGCTCGGGTGGCACGCTTGCTAGGACCTCTGACGAGTTGCTTACCCAGCTACGAATGGTGAACCCGCCGGCTTTGTGGATCTTGACGACTTGAAGCGCTCTGGCGACAGCTGTTTCCACTGTTGGCGTTGAATCGAAGTAGTCGTCCATGTAGTGCTTGCGGTTGATTGCGTAGACAGCTTCTTCGTGGTTGTCCCTGAACTCCTCAGCATTCCTCCGCATCACGAACTGGGCCGAGGCAGGCGAGCATACCGTTCCGAACGTCATCGCCTTCATTTGGTACGCGTCCGGCTCTCTGTCACGTTTCATGCCTCGCCAAAGGAAGCGTTGGGATGGTTGATCTTCTTCCCGAATCTGTACCTGGTGGAACATCTGCTGTATATCGCCGCCGAAGGCAATACGGTGCTCCCTGAACTTGAATAGAACGCCGGTGAGAGAGTTCAGCAGATCCGGTCCCGGAACCAGGGCGTCGTTTAGGCTCATGCCGTTGCTTGAGGCTGCCGCGTCGAAGACTAGTCGCAGCTTCCCTGGTTTGTTCGGGTTCGTGACACCAAAGTGCGGCTGGTACCACTTGCGCTCGTGGAATGCTGTCTCCTCTTCTGGTGTCAGCTTGAAGGCATAACCGGCAGCCAGGTACTGTTCGATCTTACTGCAGTACGCGTTAGCGAAGACTTGATCCCTGTCCATCTTTCGCTCGATGGAGAACAGCCGCCGGAGGGCCATGGGCTTGCTCTCTGGTAGGAGTATGCCACTCTCTCTCCACAGGAGTCCGGTTTCCCAGCGGTCTTCGACTCGTCTGGTGGTCGATTCCATGATCCTCTCAGCTTGCGCTTCCTGTCGGGACCGGATCTTAGTGCTGGTGACCTTGACACCAAACGAGTCTGTGGTGAAGAAAGACTTGACGAGCAGATGTAGGTCGTCATCGAAACAGCCATCTTTGATTTGCGCTGACAGGCTGCTGTGGGGGTTTTCGGTGCTGAGGTCATCGACTCTGCCGTGGATTGCCCAGCCTAGCTTGCACCGCGTGGCTACCGGCGATCCGGGCGGTCCCTCGACCCACTCTCGGGGCATGATCAGGTCACAATTGTCCTGCCCGATGAGCATTCTGGGCTTCTGCATATCCTCCACTGTCAGATCAGCGTCTCGGAGGTGTTTCCAGTGCTGACAGGTGCTGTTGACGTCGAGGTCTTGCTTGGGTAGATCCAGTGTAACGGTTCGTACATCGTTCAGGTAGAACTCCTGCCCGCTTCCGAACACCGAAACCTCCACCTTCCTGGAGTTGTTGTCAGTCTGGCTGGTGTCGTCCGTCCAGGTCAGTGTCAGCGGGCAGTGCGTCCCCTTGGCGCCGATCTCCTTGGCTAGGCTAGCGTCAAGCAACGTGACTGTAGATGCTTCGTCGAGCAGAGCGAACGTGTGTACCGTCCCCTTCGTGCCTGTGACGTTGATGGGTACTGTGCGCAGCATCACCCTCCCACTGGTAGGTCGTCGAGTTGCGTTGCACGGCGCTGGCTGGTCCCCCGTCCTCTCCTGCGTGCTCGGTTGCGGCAGATGGAGGAGTCGGTGGTGTAGCCTTTCGCACCCGTCACGTCCGCACCGTGCTTTCTCCGGGCAGTCCCTGACTTGGTGTCCACAGCCAAAACAGACGAAGCAGCGGTTCTCATTCTTGATCCACTTCCACCTGTCCTTGACTAGGGCCTTCTTCAAGGTGTTGCAGTTGGCAGCGGAGTGTCCGGCTTTCTTGCAGAAACCGCATTGTTCTTCTCGTGCGGTGAAGGTGTTCCCACGGAGGCCGCCTGGTCGCTTGCCAGATGGCGGCTTTTCAGCTCTGTCAGTGGCAGTGAGTCTTCTGACGTGGCTGATAGCGTCCGCTCGTTGTGATAGCCATTCGGAGAGTGTTGCCAGGGTCACTCCGGTCTGTTGGGTATGGACGAACTCCCCCCATTGCCGCTTCAGGCTGTTGGGAAGTTTCATGATCACTTCCTGCCGCAGGGTGGGATTTGTGAGATGTCCGGTATCGTTCATGAGCTGCATTGTTGCGACGAGGTTGCCGACCGCATTTGCCGTGTCGATGAGGGCCTCGAAGTCCTCTTCTCCAGCTGGCTTCAGTTTCTTGACGCCGTCAATTATGGTCTGTATCACCTGCTCTGGCTGCCCGAACCGCATTTCCAGAGTCTGCATGACACAATCGACGTTATCAGGTACGATGAGCATGGCTTTGACGGTGTCCTTAGCCTTCCCTTTGAGGGCTTTCTGTAGCCTGGCCATATTCTCCGCATTGGAGAATTTGCATTCACTCGTCGATGACGTGAACATATGGCGGAACATCGGCCAGGACGCCGGGTCACCGTTAAACTCTGGGAGGTCCTTTGCGGTGGACTGTCGGGCGACTATCTTGTGAAGGTCGCTGCCAGTATCTTGGGAGCCATGTCTCTGCGTGGCTGTCGTCAGGTGTCCGGCCAAGGCCTCCGCAAGCTGACTGACAGCTGTCACCACTGAAGTCTGAGCGGCCTGGGCCGGGGTGTGCTCTTCATGTGCGATTGGCTGGTCCCTAGCGCGTGCTGCGGGCGGCAGGTGTTGTGTCGGCTCAGCCTTGTCGCCAAGGGACTCCACATCCTCAGTATCTTTCGGGACGGGTTGGTGGTACTCAGCTGGAGTCCGGCGGTGGTATGACGATGACTTGTCCACAGACCTCGCTCCCCTGAGTTCTGCAGGTCGAGGCTCGTACTCGTGGACGGCGTGGAATCGAGCATCGTTACCAGGACTACTCGTGTCAGTCACGGTATTACGTCTCTGTTCGACTGCCCGGTCTGCAGGGCTACCTCGCGCTGCGCATTCCTCTAGGAACAGCTGGCGCCACTGGTCAGCTTTCCTTTGCTGCTGCTCCGCAGATTGCCTGGCTTGACTCAGGAGCTCACGTAGGTGATCCTTGTCACCCTCCGCGCGCGCAGCCTGCTCCTCGATCTCCTGGAGTTCTTCGCGTGACCGCTGTCTCTGGCAGGCCATCGCCTCGAACTCTACCTTGCGCTGCTCCGATACGCGCTTCATCTTGTCGAGTTCAGCCCGCAGTTCGGTGTTGCAATCATACAGGTCGCTGTTCTCAGCTTGAGCTGTGCTCTTGTGGAGGTCTAGCTCGCGACGTGTTCGCCGCAATTCAGACTGAAGGTGTTGCACGACAAGATCCTTCTCATGACTTTCGTCAGCGGACTGTTGTAAACTTTGCTGCAGGCAATCAATCATCCGGTGTGCGTGACTGAGTGCGTCTTCGTTGGCCTGTGACTGAGCATTGTGTGCGGTTACAGCTGACTGCTCAGGGAGATTCACAGGTTCAGGACTACCCTGCAGTGCTTGGAGCGCTGATGGCGCTAGAGCTAGCGGTGTGGCATCTGCGCGTTCTGCCATGCTGTACGGAATGTGTGAAGAGGCACTAGTACCTTGCTCTACCTGCTCCGTGCGCTGTGTACCGGTACTTACTGAGTCTGACACTAAAACTGAGTTTTTGCCAACTCCTTGAAGTCGCTCTACTGTCCTACCGCTTGTAGAACGGGACTTGACTGTACGTGGGTCGCAGACACTATCTGCACTCAGGTCTATCAAGTCCGGGTCACTAGTTTGCCCTGACTGTACGGATTTAGCAGGGTACAACACGCTCACCTCATCGCTGCCATTTGCAGCTGTGGGCGCTTGCATTTCAGATCGTCGCTCTTCCTCGAACACTTCCTCTCTCATCGCGGGCGATGAAGACTTCGGGGTGCCAGAGCGTCTGGACGCCCTCTCGAGATTCAAGCTGGCCAGGTCAGCCTCCGCCTCTGCGACCCTCTTTCTCGCTTCTAGCAGGGCGCACCTTGCTTCCATCACTGATGGCGCACTTCCTGACGTGCGGCTTGATGCGAGCGACGGTGTCTGCCTGCTGAAGCTGGTTCTTGGACTGGTCGCACTCTCTTCGTCCTCAAACCCCAGTCGCCTGGGAGCAACTCCCTTGGTTGAACGAGCACTCGTTCTTTGTTCCTCCGCCATTCGCGATCCGGCTCGAAGGACCAATGTTTGCGCCGGTATTCTCACTCACAACACAGAGTCTGAGGTTTATAGAATATTATCACTAGGAGAAGACTGTATCCATTGCAAACTGATTGCAATACTTCAAAAGGCTAGCTACTACCTGGTAGTAACAGAAACAGCCAAAGACAAAGAACCTAACAACTGCACCAGCAAGCTCTTTCTTTGCACTAACTACAAATACATCAAAATCAAGCAGCAAAATGCAAATCCGCACGCGTGTTTGCCGGAACTGAACTTCCGTAGCGCAGCTGATCATTGCGGCTGCACGGGACGACCATCCCACCACAGTAAGGCAAAGAACTATGCATGGAACTAGCAAAGAATGCATGCAGCACACCAGCATGCTGTCCCTACGCAGACGTCCAGTCTAGCGTGAGCAAGGATGAATAGCATGAGAAACCAGCGGGTGTAGTATGAAAGGCAGTGCAGCAGTTATGAATAGGGACATCAACAGGACACAACACACAGTAGTCATGCGCAGGCTGAGGTAACTGAGGGCCGGGGAACAGTACAGACATGTGCACAACAGCACCTAGGTTTACTACTACCCAAGGTTATTCATGTCTTGGTCTAAACTGAGCAAGTTACTAGTGGAGATCTGTGGGGTGACTTGGTCGTACCAACAGCTCCCTTCCTACTTGAATCCCAATCAAACTCGCGCACTTCCACCGAAACTGGGTGACTGCGCCCTACTAGATGGGGATTTGTATGCAAAATGTCACTAAAAGCGCCATTTCGTTCTTATGAAAGCACGGATGACAGCGATTGGCCCATATGTTGTAGTCTTTTGGACACTGAGTCGACTGGTTTTGGTCCGAAAAGGCTGCGATGCAGCGTTCCTCCTTTATTCCCAATCGAACATGGTTGAACAAGTGGTCACGTGCTCCTGGGTGCCCAAATCACCTGGTCACCACGCCAGCAGGCGACAACTTTCACACCAAGGTTCAACTCGAGTTCAACTCGAGTGACAGGACTGCACCAAAAAAAGGTCAAACAGGCTAGTAAGTTGTACCCTGCAGTTGTACCCTGCACCAAGACCATTCGACTCAGCACCCCGAAGACTACAACTGGTGAAATTTTAATTTTTGCCTTAACTACCCCTTTAAGCAACAGTGGAAGAGAAACAATGCCAAAGTTTGTTTTGTGAAGATAAAAATTAGCTAGGGATGGAAACACTTTCTCACAATCACCTCCCCATGGTAACGCCATCTAAACTTCAGAAAACCCTTATCACCTGGACCAGAGACACATATTATCTGGACTCTTACCATCGGAACATGTGTTTCCTGTGAAGCCAGGCAGGCAGGAGCACTGAAAGTCGGCGCATGTTCCACCATTCTGACATGGCTCACTTGCACAGTCCATGCAATCTCCCACTACAAAATACATGTGAAAGAGACATCAGCAGCAGTACACTTGGCTGGTCTGCAAATTTCAGAGGACACATGAACCTGAAGTTTGAAGCACCCCCACAGGCGAACTTTATACAGAAATAACGTACAGAAATGTACTGGTTATACCTCGAAGGTCGTAAATCGACCTCCCCACCCCCCCCCCCCCCCCCCCACCCCTCCCCCTTATCGGGACAGTGATTTCCTGGATAACTGGTGATTAAACCCAGGACCTAAGTCCACTAACCTGTTCTTGTTTGATTCTAGGTATAGATGGTCGACTTATATCAGGTAAAGGTATAGTACAAGGTAGATCTGCTCTTACCCTTTTCGCAGACAAACTGCGTATGATGGACAGGATGAGCATCGCACCAAAATTCTGACCATCTGCCGTCCAAACGGCTCATCACATAGCAATCAGATACTGACGAGAACGGATTTTGCACACCGAAATTCCGGTATGTCGAGTTGCTTCCGCTGACCCATACTGGCCTTCCCTCGTTTTCCTGAAAGAGGTCGCAGATCGGTGAAAAGGGAAAAACAATCGGCTGAGAGCCCATGGAGGAGAAGAAATTGCTGCAGTATTGAACAGCCGAATGGTACCGTTCACCAAAATCAGCAAAACAAATTCCTCTCCAGAATAATGGTCCGGTGCGAGTCATGTAATGGCAAAAATTAATAGAGAATATTATCATTTCTTCTTGGTCACATCTAAGCATCAGCTTAATTATATATTATGACAAATTGGCTCACTAAAAGTATCCATGCCTTATGCCCAAGTAGATAATGAGACTTTGCGCTGCCCTTATCTGTGTGCAAAGCTTTTTTTCAAAGAAGATGCCCTATGAACCGACGGTGAATTTTTTCTTCTCCACCCTTGCACCATCATGTACATGTGTAGGTTGGTTGTTCCCTTTCATGGTGTTGTGAGGCATACTGTGTGGTGCTGTCATGCTGCCACCTCTCCTATCACCTCTCATCCAAGCCATTCAACATAAACGAAGCTGTGGAGTTGGCATTTTGCTGACACGCTCCAACACGATGGAGGTTATTCAGTCAAATTTGCGTGTAACGACACCCGGCGGGGTATCAGAAAAGTGTCCTTATATTTATTATTTATTATTATGTGCTTGTTCGCGTAGACATCAGCATGGCCTGCAGCTGCATTAATGGGCATGCGAATCATGCAAACCAGCCAAAAATGTTCGCATAAGCCACTTCGAATAGATACAAAAGACCATAACAGTTTCAAAAAAAGAAGAAATATGCGAAAAGAAGACGAAAACTAGGGTGCCGACACCACTCGGGCACAGATGCCCACCCAACTGCTTCGGTCAGCAGCAAGGGCACGGAACGCCTCCAGATCGACTTTGCTTGACAAGGAAAGTCCAATCCGCTTGGCATCATCTTGTAGTAGCGTCGGTAGTGTGTGTCTTGGCCGTCCCCTCCAGCCCGCTGGACGAGGCTCTGCGAAGTACGCTCCCATGGCCAGGGATGGTGGGGAGTCAGCCGGGAGCCGGAGGACGTGCCCAAAGAGCCTCCACCTAGCTCTCAAGATGATAATGCGGAGAGGAACCGCGCCGGTACGCTCATAGAGCCTCTCGTTCCTAATCCGATTCGGGAACACAATGCCGATTAGCGCCCGCAGCTGTTTTCGGTGGAAGGCCTCAATACGGCTCAGCTGCTGTTTCGTTGGTGCCCATGTTGCACAATTGTAGCAGAGTACAGGGAGTACAAAGGCATTATAGAGCCGGATGCGGAGATCCTCCGAAACTAGCGACCTACGGATCCACAGCGTCCAGAGTTTACCAAAGGCAACAGTTGCCAGTTGCTGTCGCCGTAGCATATCCTCGGCATCACCTAATAGGGACCCGAGTTTCTTGGTGGTTCGCCACTCCTCCTCGATGCGATCAGTGTGCCGTTCGATGTGCGTGTGCTCTGTTTTGGTCTCATTCACTTTCAAATCCCATTCGAGGAGCTTGTTGGATATGGTTGGAAGGAGGGTCCTCAGCCTCTCACCATCAGTAGTCACGAAATCCACATCGTCGGCGTAGGCAGTTTCAGTTGGTAGCCCCAGGGAGATATCGGCAGGGGGACGTGGTAGAAGAAGAGGCCGGACATCACGCAGCGCACCCTCAAGGTACACAATGAAAAGAACAGGAGACAACGAGTCACCTTGGGGTGTGCCGCGGAGAGTGGGGAATGACGGGCCCTTAGCGGATGGGAGTACAACCCGCAGTACGGTGTCCTGGAGGAGGTAACTGATCATTCGGATTTCATCCGGCTGCAAGAACGATCCCAGCACCGAGATGAGCCGTGGCCTGCTTATACAGTCAAACGCTTTTGACATATCAATGCCTAGGATATCCAGCGCACAGCGATAGCGTTGGCATCGAGCCGCCAACCATCGGTATGACCACACAACATCTGTGGTGCTTCTGCTGGGGCGGAAACCACTCTGTGTGTGTGCAACGAAGTTGTTGACGTCCTTGTTGATCCTCCGCAGCACAATCAATGATAGAATCTTCCTGAGCGCTGTGAGTAAAACCACGGGCCGTAGGTGAGCGACTGGTCCCCTTGATTTGCCAGGCTTTTGTAACGGAATAAGCGACCCACTACCGATGCTGTTCAGGGGCAGGCCTGTCTCGACGGCAGAGTTGAGGACCTGGGCGATATTGGAGTAGACGAGGGCAGGTGAGTACTTTAGCAGCTCCCCTGGCATGTTATCTGGGCCACTTGACCTGCCATTGTTCAACTTTCCAGCTGCCTGTGTCACCTCTGCCTCAGAAATGGGCCGCTCAAGCCGGCGGTACTGAATAGCGCAATCCTGGTCGGCAAGGCCCGGTCGCCGCAGCAACAGTGCACCTGGCTCCGGTGTGTACAGCTTAGAAAAGTGGTCGGTGATTTGGATGGCTACCGAGACTGGCTGTATTACTTGTCTACCCGCTTCATCATGCACAGTGATAGGCTGTTGTTTTTGTCGCTGGAGTAGATGGACTGCATGAAACATCTGTGCTGTATCCTTCTTTGCTTCTACTTCCCTCGCCCGAGCGTCCAGCTCATTCGATGCTAGTTCCTTTGCTCGCAGCCGGATTCGGTGTGAGAGGGTGTTCCGCCGATGCTTCAGATCAGTCACTTGCCGTGGATCCCTACTTGTAGTTATCAGCAGTCGTAACCGTTTTTTCTCTTCTGACCAGGAATGTAGCTGATCATCCATGAAACGCTGTTGCTTCTTTGGGGGCTGTGCCAGTCCAATGGTATTCTTTGCCGTTTGCTGGATGAAAGACGAGATCGATGTCCAGTGTGCTTCCGGTGTGGATGTGTCTACTGCGCCGTTGGCGCCGTTGTCTACTGCGCCGTTGGTGTCCTTATACCCGAAGTCTATTATATGCATTACAGTTAGATGGGACTTTGCTCTGGGCATGGAAATTCCGTCATTATACACGAATTGTCGTTATAAAAAATTCACGGTTCGCGTGAGACTCGGCTGAAAGCCGAGTTTTCCGCATTCGCCGTGGGAACGCCACCACCCTCTAGGATCAAAGGCGCAGATGCAGAGCCTAAACGATGGGAGGTGAGTAGATCAGACCCACCACAAGTAGTCAAAGACCGAAATCCCATTAGCTGCATCCATGTTACCCTCGTGCCAGGCCACGAGTTCCCAATCAACTAGGGGGTTGCAGCACGGCTGGACAAATTCCTTCCACTTCCAAGCAGGACTTGAAACTGGTACCCTCTGTTTCTCAATTGTCGTTATATCCGCAGTCTATATTTGACTGTAATTCTAATAAAATTTAATATCACTGTGAGGTGGCTGTCATATCGAAGAACACCAAGTACAGTAGTACTAAGGGCGAGAATTGAAATCACTACTTGAAATTTAAATGGAAAACCTTACACACACACCATCTTCAATGCAAGTGGTCTCTTCGCTGCAAATTACACTAATTCTCAATCACATTTTCGGCCAGGAGCCATCATCAGGATTAGAAATTAATTTTGTTGATCATCTTAGCTGCAGATAGGATGGGCGGTGTATGAAAGATACTTTTAAGTTTTAACCACTGTTGGCCTCTAAAAATGGTGACAGTCGGTTATGCAAACCAAAATATCATGGTTGTGTTTTGTTCTCTGCATAGTGTGCTGCCGTACAAAATGTGCATTGAATGAATGAAAAAGTTCTGAAGCACGCAGTACGAGAAATCACTTACGCCCATATCATGTAATCCAATCCAAACTCCATTTTCAATCTGCTGAGCAGCGAACGTCTCAAAGATGAACTGGTTTTCAGCTGCATCATTGATCGTAACAAGCTCCCCCGTGCCCAATTCTTCACAGCTTCTGCTCGCAAATGGCCAGTCCCCAATGCTTTCATCCATAGTGTACCGATGTCCATCGTAGCCTAAACCAAACAAAAGAAAGGTGATATTTAGTCTGGCTGCGATGCAGAGTTGGACAGCCATGTGCGCACACACACACACACACACACATTTTCCATTGCACGACATCAAAAATGCCGAAGAGTTGGAAACTCAATAGGAAAATGGAGTTCAGTGTTGCGCAGAGTTATGGGACCGAACCTGTCAGCTCAAAAGCCTTTCTTTTAAATTGTAACTGAAAGAAATCAACAAATAATCGACGCTGAAACAATAATTTTAAAACAGCAATGAAGAAAACACATTCTGCTGTATCGCCACACAAGAACAAAGTCATGAAAGGTTTCCAAAATCAATTTTCACGTCACATTCATCAGTGGAATGTCTCACTGCACAGTTCTATTATTACTATCAGTGTCTCACGCCCTTTGCAATCGGTTCTCACTTCACTTCTATTGTCTCACCTTTCTTCCTTCTATTTTTGCACTTATTTTGTTCTCGTAACACATTATTGTTCAGCATGGTTATTCTTCCGTCACGACATTCCACTGAAGAATGTAACATGAAAATCGATTTTGGAAACCTTTCATGACTTCGTTCTTGTGTGGCGATGACAGCAAAATTTGTTCTCTTCATTGCTATTTCAAGAACTTAACCGTCACGTTTCATACTGATATTTTCATAAGAATGTGTTTTGGTTACCAGCAAAAGCCGAAAGAATGTTCATGATTTCGTGTCAACAGACTTTCCCGTGGCCATGTGAGCAACTTGTTACCCTTCAAAGTTTGAACCCTGCCCCTCCTCCTGCTCGCTATTTACATACCGGTAATCCAAATCTCTGTTCTAGGGTCTGTGTTTCTGTCACTCTTTAGCAGGTGACAAAAGCCCAAAGAGTAGAGCCGAAAGAGTCATTTTCTTGCCATGAGGAAGACAATTTTTGGTCGATAATAAGCAGAGCTCAAGAAGGCAGAGGATGATCTTGAAAAGATATTTTGATGAAGTACTACCCAATGGACTTGGACACTATGGGTTGGTGGGAGAGAGTGGGTAGGGGGGAGGGCTGGATTGTGTAGTGGTGTATGGGTGAAGGGGGGGGGGGTGATGATGGGGGGTTGTGTGATGGTGGCGGCGTGTGTGTATGTGGGTGTAGGGAGGACTGGGTTGTGGGGTGGTGTGTGGGTGAGCGAGGGGGGGGGGGGGGTGGATTGTGTGGTGGTGGTGGCGGTGTGAGTGTGTGTGTGTGTGTGTGTTTGTGTGTAGGGAGGACTGAAATGTGTGATGGTGGTGGTTTAGGGGTTAGAGGAGGAGGCATGGAAAGCTTGTAAGAAAGAATGTATGGACAATGGGCTGTGCAGTTTGACAGGTTGTATTGCAAGATGTATATGACAGTGTACATCCACTTCAAAGGTAAAATCATGGTCCTGTCAAGTGCCCAGATTTTGTGAAGATCCCACTTCAACCAGAGTACCAGACAAACTGGAACTGTAGCCTTGGTGCGATATTGTTATAATTACGTAATCAAATTTACATGTATCTCCAAATGTCAAGATTATTGTAATACAAGTGTTGCACGTGCAAAGATGACCGAAAACTCACAGTTGGTGGGCATTGCAGGCACTATGCAGGCCGTCAGTTTTTCAGCAAGTGCATAATATTATTCCATAATGGCAGCAGGGGGAAATTGGGGTTTCCAGATGACAGTGGTACGTTATTAGTGTTTTTGGCATCGTTAATTTAATCCAACCCCGCTCACTGGCAAACCTCAACCACATTGCCGGAACACACCACCTTGCACTGGTAGACTAAGGACAGTCTTCAGCTTCAAAATGACTTTTGGGTGAACAACAGTTTCAATTTAGTGGGTAAAGTTACGTGCTTGAATACACTGTCACATGATATTGGCTTTTGTGATGATTTTTCGGTGAAGGGTTAGTGAACTGAAAATAGGTGAATTGGGTGTAATATCGGTAACGTGATATTCCCTTCCTGCACCCCTTCTTCTTTCCTCTCCCCCCCCCCCCCCCCCCCCATCCGGTCGCATCGTTCAGCACTCTTCTTTTCCTCCCTTCTTACCTCTCCCCGTGTATGTCCGTCGCTCCCTCACAAACTCACAAACTCACACACACACACACACACACACACACACACACACACACACACACACACACACACACACACACACACACACACACACACACACATACATGTACACATGCACACACACACACACACACACACACACACACACACACACACACACACACACACACACACACACACACACACACACACACACACACATGTACACATGCACACACACACATGCGCGCACACACACACACACACACACACACACACACACACACACACAAACACAAGTCATTGTTCGGCCTTCCCAGAACCAAACCCCTGAGCGTATGACAGGTATGAAACGTGCTATTTTTCGTTGGCTGAGCGTAGCGAATGAAACGAAAAATGTATTTTTTGCCAGCATTTTCATTTTTCACCATAGTATCGGCACCAGGATTGCGTCAGCTGGTTTTTTGTCAGTGTTCTCAAACTTTGCTCTTCATCGTGGTCTTTCTCTTTTCGTTGTAGTTGAGTGAGTGAGTGAACAAAGACCACACTACCACTGTGATCTGTATCTTTCTGTTGTGTGTGGGTGTGTCTGCGGTGTACGCAGAGGCCAGCTAGCTGGCAAAAAAAGGGCAGTTTACGCACATGACGTGCGCTTTTGCAAATGTCAAAGACATGTACATGAAGGGAAACTCAGTTTGAATGTCGCCTCTGTAGAATATACAGTTCATTGAGCCTTATAAATTCTAACAAGTTATCAACACTTACAAGCAACTATCTGGGCGTTTTGGGCTCCGCAAACAGTCACAAAGACTAAGCACAGGAACGGATAGAGAAGCCGGTCCATGGTTTATTCGGCGCGCTGGGCAGGGAGTATTTGAACACCTAGTTGACCTACATGCACTGCATGCCATTAGCTAGCCATTGTCCAGAGTTCCTATTGCGTTAGTAAGCTGATTGCCTTAGTTGGTCAAATCTCTACAGGAAAGCCATTATCTAGTGAAGGGAAAACCAACAATGAAAACTCATTTCCACACTTGACATGCCGGCAGTGTATCCGAAAAGCGCCGTGGCAGGAAAGACACTTCATGCAGCTGGGCAGCAAGTCTTTACTTCCGCTGAATCTTGGTCCTCGTGAGCAGGCCGTGGCCGGCTGGGTGCCAAGTCAGGTGAGAATCTGATGTTCTTGTGTCTAGTTGACGCTGTTTGGATTAGCACCCATGTGCCATATGTCGCACGCTGCTAGTCATGATGACACGCGCATCGTCTGGACTTTCGCCCTAGCGCTATAGCTCGAACTATTTTACAAACTGCTACAAGAACACCCTTGAAAATCGCAAGTACTAGTACTAGTAGTAGATCTACAGTGCACGGTACGGACTTGTCACAGACGCAGAGTCTAGTACATGTAACGCGACTACCAGTTCATGGTTGTGAACTCTTGGCAGTCGTGCTATCTTGAGTCTTGGTTTATCTTCATTGTGCATGACCACTCGAACTGTGAATGCCTGATGCTGCTTTGTGAGGCTCGAGGCTGTCCGCATTATCACACGAAAAGCGAAGGTTGGAGTGGCATGTTGAAATGGCCTTGAAGTCGGTTGTGTTTGGAGATATGCCCATGTACAGGACTTCGCTCGTCAGATTGAGAACATCGGGAATACAAGACAAACCTCATTAGACTAGGCAAAGATCCAGGATTCCCTGATGATGTAAGTATTATTCTTGATTGTACAGTCGTAGACCTCGTTGCAAGTCCGGATAAGATATGTTTTTAAATATCTCTTTAATATCCGGACTTGCACGGAGATCTACAAATGATTAAAATGATTTGCTTGTAGACAATATACCGTCACCTTCAGTTATCTGACAGAGACCATTCCCTTCGTATTGGCCATAGACCAGGAATTTTGGCGGACCGCTCAATGTTCGACGTTCGCTGTCTGGACCTTGGCGTGAACTTGAAAACACGATTTCTCTGGATCTGTTTCTTTCTAGCTAACTCGATCTATGTTTCATGTCTTGTACATTTACATATGCCTATGGGTCTACTGGAAGAATCTGAATTGTCTCGTGATCGGTTGTCTTGTGCAGGGGTCTGGGGAACAGATTGTGCTAACGTTATGATTAGGAAACATCGTATACATTGTATGCGGCGGATACAGTACGTATGATGTAAAACTGCAAACATGTGCAATTCCTGATAGTAACACATTACTCGTGTATTTGTGCATTTGTCAAAGGTATTTCTACACAAATACACTCTCACAGTAATGATACAAAGACTTGAAACCACTTTGTTTGCAGCGCTTCATGCAAACTGAACCAACTGCATGTACCTAACAACATGAGGTCATGCTTGCCTTGGTACTTGGTACTACTACTCTTACACATTTCTATGTAAAGAGCTATACGGGAGCCAAACAATGCGCATGAAGCCAAAATGAAGACAAAAATCAGATATCCTGGCAAAAACACGTTGCCTAAAAACTTTCATGTATGTACTCTGAAGCACACAACCGGAGTGGGAATAGCAAGAAACTCCGGTGGCATTTGGAGCAGAGTGCGCTTTCATCACAGCCTCTATGATATTGGGCAGCAAGTCAGCAAGCGTGACTTTTCCTCTTCCCCTGCAGCCCCACCGCCACCGGTGCACCACCATCAATGCGCAGATGAAGATCTATCCACGAAATTGAAATTATCAGTACCTTCTGTGCATGCGGACAGTGGTTTGAAGAGTGCCACGTACACAGTGATAGGATTCGAGTGCTTCCGGAGTGGTCCAATTTAAAGCACTTTAGGTCCGGAAAACATTGGAAGCAGAGCCACTTCACTTCAGACAGATCAGAAATCCTAAAACGCCGCAAGAATCACAGGTATGTTGGGAATAGAAGCAGTCTTAGTAATACAGTGAAACCTGTCTAAGACGACCGCTCAAGGGACAGTCAAACCATGGTCTCTAGCTCTGTTTCCAGGTGGTCTCCTTATTCAGGGTCATTTGACTGGAAATAGCATGCCTTGGTCCTGGGTTCAGTGGTCTTCTAGGACAGGTGGTCGCCTTGAGAGGTTTTACTGTACTGGATTTCAGACTACATTGTAGTGGGCAGTTAGTGGTAGAAGGCTGAGTGTGTTGGAGGAGGTTGAATGTGGACATGGCGTCACAGTATGTGTATCTGGAAGAAAGTATGGGCACCTTCTGGTCACAACAGAATGCACCAGTACATGTATTCATAGAGACTACGTGTGAGGCATAAAGACTGAGGCTTCTACGATTCTAAGCCTAAAATGAGAATTGGTATCAAAACGGGGACATCTGAATAAATTATACCTCTCGTGACAATGGTAGGACTTACATTAGTCTGTCAATCGCCTGCCGCATCTCGGACCTGCATGCCGTCATTGCGACATGACTGTCACTTCTCCTTCAAAGATCTTTTCTTTTCACCTCTCATGTGACATCATCCGCGCTATGCCTCGCTAACGACAATCCCAAAGTTTATTTCTTGTGTGGTTTATAAGTTTGTAGCCAGCTGATGAACAGATGATGAGTTATTTTTAAAAGGATTGCCTCACCCTTGCAATATGCACAAAACTCAGCGCCACAACTATAAGACACATGGTTTTCGTTTTTTCCTTTCTTTTTTTTACGATAGTCACATACCCAACTCGTATAATATTGAAAGACAATGGTACTGAGACGAGGACAAACGTGACAACTACTGAGCTGAGTAGGAGCTGCACCGAGACGCAGCAGTGATGGTGGGGCATTGATGGCTCTGCCGACCTGACGTCTCGGCAACACGGCCAGAAACACGTCCTGGCGTTTCTAGACACTGAGTGTACTGTGCGGCCTGTTGCTGCCAACGATCCACAAACTAATAATCGAGTAGTTGAGGTTGGTGCCCCTCCTATCACTCTCTCGTCGTCTTTGATTTGAAAACACGCCCAGACACAGAGTGGTATCGGACCGAGAACCTCTTACACGGAAAGGTTTATGCTCGCATTTTTTTCCAATTCCGAGCCCATAATGTTATGTGGCAACATTCCTGTGCTCCGGATGGTCAGGGTCTTTCTTATGTTTGCAGAGAGCGCGGCATGGACTCTTCTAGAGTGCTGATGCCTGTGATGCAAGACCAGTAGATAAATATATGCGTACACAGATAACATGCTGACACAGAATACATGTGCCTTGCAATGATGTTGTGCTATTCAAAATTTCAAAAAAAAACCTTAGAAATAGGTAAGTGAAGCTAGCACAGGTACACCGGCGACAGTATATACATTAGTTGGCTTCTGTGAATTTCTCTCTAGGCACAGGTGCAGTAGCATACCTGCACTTCATGCTGCAATTGCGAGTGCATATGGTATGGCTTGCCTGGGGTGCTGCCTCTGCAGCAAGGGAACCTCCTCAGAGTATCAACTGCTACTTAGGGACTCGGCAGTGGCAAAATGATAAAGCCTCAAGCCTGAGTCAAGGTACGAATTAAAAACTGAGCAGCAAATCCTTACCGATGCAATACACCATATCAATCAATGAACTTTCTCATGATGATGTCACAGTAATACGCAGAAAATTGGTGAGGTAGTGTGCGATAGGGAGAGAGTTCCACAGTTAATGGTCATGTGATCACAGGAGATAGCTACATACACTAATGCATAAACCTTAGGCTTATAGTGCTAAAAAATGTTATGCTCTGGCGATTGACAGGAGCCCTGTTGGTTGACCATCTTGTCTCACTCGTGAGGCACCTACACTGGTGGAACTCTGGTCATGGCATAATGTAGCATAGAATGATTCTTCATCCGCCTCCGAATAGATATTGCCATTGGCGACATCCTGCATGACACCACAAAAATAGTTATATTTTTATGACTGTGTCCGAGTTGAAACTGAAATCTCTGGAGAAAAACCTTGACTGCAACTTCCAGGACTCAAACCAGAGACCTTGCTTATGACCGGTGATATCTACCACTAAGGTAATGTTTAATCATCCGCCCAGCGTGGAGCTATACATCCTTTCCGTCAGGCTTCGCTGTCATGGAGGGATCCATGTTATGACTGTAGGCATACGGACTGTGTCACGCCCACATTACAGTGTGGAATGAAACTACGGTTTGTTTTTGAATTGAAAGTAGTTCAAAGTACTATTAATTTTTACCTACAAACCTAGTCCATCGAAGTTAGTGAAGGTCAATTGCTTACATCCTTGAGTATGGCCAATACTTGTCAAATCAGATCAGGCAATTTATTCCTGAGTTCGGAATGTAATGAACCGACAACAGCCAAATTCAAATGATGAGATATAAAAAGTACAATAGAAAGTGCAGAAGACCTCTTGGTAACTCGAAATCTTGCAAATATTAGAAAATCCTGCAGCAGTCCACTCACATTAATTTCCAGATCCATGTATGTTATGTTGGTCAATCCGCCCACGCTGGTACGCGAGTGCTGCACGGAATACTGACACAGATAAATGGAAAATGATACAACCAGACACCAAACTGAGAGGATACTGAGACATTGAATGGCCTTATACTCCGAGTACTATTTGTGAACTTGTTACTCAGTCATTTTTGAGCGGGTCACTTGGACATGTTTCTTATGGCTTGTCCTTGTTCGGTCCAAAAGGATGATGAAAGTAAAGAGTGCTCGAGAAGGCACTCTGCGGTTCGGTTAATATCACTATTACTTCAAGAATTATGTATTCTCAGAGATAGTAGATTTAGTGAAGACTAGTGGGCAAGTAAGTTGGAACACAGCAGCGTTCAACTGCATTATTGGATTTACAAGGCGATTGGCTGCAGATTTTTAAACAGCATCTGTGATTTCAGTTTAGAAATGGAGAAGACAATTTGTTTGAAAAGTATCATTCTTACTTCAGGGTGACTACTCTCCGTGTCATCAGAGTACAGTGGGTTGATAACTCCTCGCCGAATGTCAACACTTTCGTCCAAATCAACTTGCTTGGCCTGAAACCATTCGTCCTTTGTGTGCAACAAAAAAAAACAATACAGTAGCATATGGTAGTGATAGTCAATTTTTTCTTTAGACATTTTTCCGTTCGCAGCTTTCCCTTAAACCAATGAAACCAGTAGCAGCTCTGCCTTGTAAGTGTCATGTTGATATTCCTTTCTGAAACTCACCCTGCGAGGTAATTTTCGGAAAGTCAAGCCCATGTCAGTGAAGAGATAGTAAAATCATACTACTTCCTCCGCGTCATCGAAATTGTCGCAGTTTGACTAGTGACTTGTCACTAGTTACTGACAACTCCATAAGCTAAGCCATTCAAACCTTATTACACAGTATGATAGTGTGAAGACTAGAGTAATGTTCCAGGACAGTTGGACTGAGAGTTTTCATGCAGAGATGAAGTTCTCGTGGTCGCTGATGTCAATGGACGCAAAAATGTCGTTCCGAAATATTTCAAGGAAGGTTGAAAGTTGGTCGCGCCTCATCTCAAACGCTTTGACTTTCTCCACAGGACAAAAGCTGCTATGCTTGTCGTCTGCTAGCTCTGGATGATTTCTTCTTCACCACCAACGAAGCCTAGTAAGAATACACGATCGTTGCGAGGTCGGTTGATTACCGTCGGCGGAATCACCTCGATCTTGAAATGAACTTTTTTTAGCCGTGGCATGCCCATTTATTTTAGCTGTGTGGTCACAGCTCATGCAGGTAAGTGTACTATCACATCCAGGGCGCCCTCTTTTTCAGCATCACTGGTATACCATGGTACGGCACCTGCGCATGCATCACTAGCACTACATGTAGAGTCTACACGGCTCTTGCAGGTGCAATCATGTACTGAGTGTCTCAGCCAGAGCGACAAATTTTATCGCTGTTTCAGGCATTTAGTTTGCTGACCCCTCGATGTTTCTCCAAGCGCTGCCACTTGTTCCACGAAGTCATTCTCACCCCAGCTAGGGTAAAACAGTGATGCAGCTTGAGTGAATGGCCATAAGCACGAGAAATGTGCAGGCTGCAACGCCTGACTGATCTCAGCGAGTCGAAATTACCATCGCAGTGACATCAGCGAAGAAATTGCGTCTAGTTCAAAAATTTCAGCTTTCAATAACAGAAAATAGAACTTTGCCGTCACCCTATACTGATGACTATCGCCTAGGCTATGTCCGATTCCTTGCCTCTGGTACGAGTGCTGGTGAGTAAATACCCCGTTTTATATCAAAAGTCAAACTGCGACAATTTCGATGATGCGGAGGAAGTACAAAAATCCGTGGGCAGCGCTTTACAACAACATGAATGCATGGCTGTGCTGGCAGCAATAACTAGATAAGGCGACTGAATCCTTATTGATTAAATTTGTTGAGGCAATCCATTTCGAATTTCAAAATTTAAGTTTTTAGCCCTCTTCAGAAAATTGCAAAATTTTGGAATAACAAACATATCGCTTGAGATGTGGAGGCGGGAAAGTTTCCAAAAAACGTCAAAAGTACAGAAACAGTCAGGGAAATGAACTGCCTGGAAAGAGAAGATATACCAGACCTGCCAGGATTCGAACCCGGGACCTTGCTTAATCAACTAGCTTCATCTTTGTCTGAAAGGGTTGTTGCATGAAATACCTGCACGGCATGTTTGTCAGACAGGAAACTACAGATAACGTAATAAGGTCCTGTACATTCTGCACCCAACCGAGTCTACGGGGTTCCACTGGATTCCACGTGATCCTACGGGATTTCGTACCTGACGCCATTCTGCATAAGGCCTATTGGGGGCAACTTAGTTATTATCCAAGTTCCACTTTACAGCGCTCCACTATGTACTCACTGCCATGTTGTTGAGGTGCTGCTGGCTTTGCTCTTCGGTGTCATCCTGTGTCTGGTTGATGTAGACGGGATTCTCCATAACTGTGCATGCACCTGAAAGCACAAAACAATCAGATAGCAGCGACTTCAATCACGTGACCAAAAGGCGGAAATCCTTCGTCGCATGAACGGTAGGGTGCAGGAATGGTGTGCATTGCATAATTATTCTACTGGCTTTCTACGCCTGCCCACAAATATCAAACAAATTGAATTCAACTTGGGTGTTACCGACCAGCATAAGAGCAGATCCAATCTTTATCATGCACCGTTCAGTGTACCGCTGCTGTGGTGGGTGAAATCCAATGCAAAGGTTTTCAACCTACACGTTGCATAGCGACCTTGATGCCTCGCAACTGGTATACAAGTCGTACACATGTACGCACACAGTGATGTGATGAGCTGCCCTAGGAGGGTGCCAGCTTTGTACCTTTGGGTGGAATTCACCAAATGCAACTGCCAATGTACATGTAGCTCGGGTTGACATTTCAAACGACTGAGTACAATTTCCACTCTACTTGTAGTTGTCTGCTGGAGTGAAAATATGAACAAATCACCAGTAAGTCTTTGGGCAGGACCACCAGTATGCTACTACAGAACTCCATGCTTTAAGATAGACATGGTAACTTTATGTATCGAACAAATATCCAACCAGAAGCATACAACCAGTCCTTGCCTAGCTCAATGCACTTCTGTAGAAGGAAAGAGACCAGCGCCCACCGGGAACATTACTCACTTTGACTGCTCCTTGCCTCCGACAAAGCTTTTTTCTTGCGTCGCTTCATCAAAAGAAACAGAACTATGATAATCGCGAGTAGGGCAAGGAACCCTACTCCAGCACCTACAGCCGCTGGAAGGCTTATTGACGCAGATGAGGTGATTGCTTCTGTGGACTGCAATGCTGCGGCTGGTGTTGCTACCCGAGCTGACGATACGGCTGGCGGTGCGGAGGTCGGAGGAGCAGCAGTTTCTGACGCTGGAGATGGATATGAATTGAAGATAATTATAGACACACAAGCGTGTACGTACACAACGTTGACAGCACAATACATATACACACACACACGCACACACACGCGCACGCACACACACACACACTCTCACACACACACACACACACACACACACACACACACACACACACACACACACACACACACACACACACACACACATACACACATTTAAACACACAAAGTCATGGTTTTTGTACAAGTCCTCACACATTACCAGTCCGTTTACCCCACTAATCACGTAGTACATAAAAGTTAAAACTCATCATTTCTTGATCTGATATCCCAGGTCCTGAACGGTCACTGCAGATGCCCGCCATAAGGTTTGTATAGTTCTGTAAACTTCACTGCTTTTCGAGCAGAATCTGCCACCTTTTCGAGCATTATCCTCCAAGGCCTACTGTGAATGCTATTTGTAATAAGTTAGTAATAACCCCTCGTAAGGTAACATTGCATCACTGGATTTGAACACTTAAACGAAAGCTATTTACTAGCATTTAGCTGTCACTACCCAGACATACTAACCTTCATTACACAGAGTTCCCGTAAATCCCGCAGCACAGTCACACCGAAATGCGTTGACGAGATCCACACATGTTCCGACACGGCATGGAAATGATGCGCATCCGTTGGTTTCTAAAGAACACGTGTGAGTATTGAAAGACGAGCACTTATCTGTAATTGTGCACAGACTGGCGTTAACACCGAGACCCTATGGCTGGAGTTGATAATCTGCTTGACCAGCAGAGGCTAATGCAACCCCTACCCCCCCCCCCCCCCCTCCTCCCACCCCTGTTTGTCCTCATGTACTGCTTGCTCTCCGACACACTCCTTATGTGGAGCCTGAATTATACATGTATCTCAAGCAAAGAAAACGGAAAGGAATTCCTTCTCTTGAATGGTCCTCTTCAGTTTGAAATGTCTTCTCCTCCATCTGCTCTTCATCCCATGACACTGAGCACATTACACAGAGCGCCTCTCTGCAGCCTGGTTATGAAAATATTTCTATTTGCTGTAGTTTAAATAATTGATCATGACCCCAAACCAACCCAAAGTAATGCAGATAAAAATACTGGTGAATCATCATGCGAAGCAGCTAGCAAGCATGAGGATCACAAAGCATCACCTGTGTCACAGTGTTCACCGGTATATCCCGCAAGACAATCACACACATATCCACTGACTTGATCACGACAACTTCCTCCATTGTTACAAGGATTGGACGAGCACTCGTTGACATCTGGATTGATATGCAAAGTGTGGGGGTGGGGAGTAGGGAGAGAGAGAGAGAGAGAGAGAGAGAGAGAGAGAGAGAGAGAGAGAGAGAAACAGACAGACAGACAGAAGGAGGCAGACCGACAGACAGACAGACACAGACAGACAGACAGACAGACAGACAGAGAGACAGACAGACAGACAGATGGACAAACGGATAAAAAACAAACGTGTATATTTGTATACTGAGCATCCGGACAAAAGAGAAGCAGAAGTGGTACAATGATGGAATCAGTGAGAATGGAACAAAGCAGAGCAAGTAGGATGTGGTGCGGAGGAAAGCATGCATTAACGGATGTAGGAAGTAAGCAAGTGTAATTCAGTGGGAAGGGCAGTGGAGGGCGTGGAGTCAGTCCCGGAGAGAGGATAGGAGAAATGAATATAAAGGAGGGCAAGAAGCCAGAGGAACGAGGGATAACTAGTATTTGATTTCTAAGAAGAAAAGACCAAAGAGCTATAGGTTGCACTATATTTTCCACCAACACCACCAGTTACTTTACAATAAACTCATTCGATAACATCTTGTCTTCTTATAAATTGATCATTGGCTCTCTCCACCTGAGTGTAACTAGTATTAAAGTGGGTCTATCATTATAGTATACACCAGGGATGGGTTCTGAATATTGTTGTTCTTCTTGTAGAACTCTGGATATCATCCCATCACCAGGATTTCAATTGAGTGTTCCATTCATTTCCCACTTGGGTTCTTTTTCGGTTCTTACTTCATGGCTTCACGCGATTGGTGTTGTGAATAAACCCCTTTCTCAAGCCTGCTGGACTGTGGTCTGAATATTGCACTGTGTGTATAATATCCTGCGCAATGATACTATGGTATCACATCTACACTCTATTGGGCAATGCAAGTGTGACGATACGGTGGGAAAGAAATAAACCCAGTCACATAAACATAACACCCCCCCCCCCTCCACCATCACCAGACATAACAAAATTTCTCACCATCACCTCACCTTGGGCACACAGTTCTCCAGTAAAACCTGGCTGACAAATACAGGTGAAATTGTTGACATGATCCAAACACGTTGCATCAGTGTGGCAAGGTGAGCCCTGGCAATCATCAATGTCTGAAAGAAAACAATGCACACACACACACACACACACACACACACACACACACACACACACACCAACGTTTAAACAAACACACACACACACACACACAGCAATTTACAAACACATACAAACACACACACAGTCATCGTTTTGTAAAGGTTCTCTCTCATCATAATACGACCGATTACGACACTAATCACGTACGTAGATTAAATCTGAAATCCGCTTGCAAAACGGCGTCCATGCAACTGTTTACAGGTTGGGTTGCAATATTTTTCTTTAGTACATAAAAGTTAAAACTCATTATTACGACCGTTGCAATGTCTTTGGCATCCCAACCCCTCAGTCTAAGATTAAAAAAATATGTCCAGGCAGTAACAAGCTGAAAACCCATGGCATCAAGCAGAAAGACACAACATATTATACATTTTTTTAGCAATATTTGGTGTGCAAGAAGCAGTAATTCCTGTTACGAAATATTTAATGCAGTAAGATATGATATTTGATGGCCCCAAAGGTGTCATACGGGGAGTACCTGTATTATAAATGATGAGGAAAGGATGGCCACCGAGCATAGCTCAGTAATATACCTAGCATTGGTCAACATAATTGATTCACCCTTACCTGTTTCACACTGTTTTCCAGTATATCCCGTGAGGCAATCACAGTTGTAGTGATCTGGACTATCATTTTGACATACACCACCATGCATACAAGGATCTGACAAACATTCATCAATGTCTGAAAGCAGAGAGATTGAAGTACGTAAACCATCGGCACATAGTATGACCATAAACCATCAGCACTTTCCACTCCGTCCAACGATTCTACATACTCCTCTATTGAATAGCAACTGAGTATAGACCCCCCACCCCATTTGCGAGTAGTCACACATCCCCACATGTAACAAGGACAGTTGAACCTACCTTCATTACACAGATTTCCCGTTAGTCCCGGCGCACAGTCACACCGGAATTCATTGACAAGATCCACGCATGTTCCAACACGGCATGGTGACGAGGCGCATTCGTTGATTTCTACAGAACAACGGGTTAAGGAAAACATCACATATACGATGTCCGCACTAGAAATATGTGCTACGATCTTAAACATCGCGGCTCGCTTGAGATTCAGTTAGACTTAGCGTTCGGCATCCGTAGGAATGCAACCACCCTGCGTAGATCTAAGGCTACGAACCTAGCACACAATGAAATAATATTATTCACACACAGCACATTTACACACGTTATCATTATTGTATAGATGGTCAACGAGAATTGTTCAGTAATGTTGATCAGCATATAAACCCTTGCCTGTTTCGCACCGTACTCCAGTATATCCCGTGAGGCAATCACAGTTGTAGTGATCTGGACTATCATTTTGACATACACCACCATGCATACAAGGATCTGACACACATTCATCAATATCTGGAGAGAGACAGAAGCATATAAAGTGTGGGTGTCGTGTATCGGCGCAAAGAGTCAGCACTATCCACAACACAGATCATAATGCAATATTGTATCTCCGGATTTGAGCGCTCACATGACCTTTTACTCTCACCAGACGGGGAAAATCTGTACACTCATTGATTTCTACAGAACACGCTCAGGTATAGAAGCAGGATAATGTGTTTTGCTTTATGCATTTATGGCCATTAGTAGCCAGGAAACATGCTCTTCGTCTCTAAAAATACCTAAACACTTTCTAGTACACTGACACAAACACACATACAGACACAAACCCACACAGGTACAGACACACACAAACACACACACACACACACACACACATACACAAAAGACACACACACACACACACACACACACAAACATATACACACACATACACCTGCACACTTACCATCGGAACATGTATTTCCTGTGAATCCAGGCAGGCAGGAGCACAGAAAGTCATTTCCCAAGTTTGCGCATGCTCCACCATTCTGACATGGCGAGCTTGCACAGTCCATGCAATCTCCCGCTACAAAAAGAGACATGAAAACAGAAGCACAGAACCTACGAGTTTCAGAATACGCATTCTGTGAACCTAAAGTAGGGAGCAGTAGTTGGGAGGCAGGAGTAGTCCACAAGTTTCTTTGTTTCTCGTTATGTGGGCAGATCCGATCTCGGCCACCGAGCGGAGCGAGACAGGAAAGTAATGATTTATCCCGCAATTTTTTTTGTCTTGCGAAAATGGCGTCTGATGATTTTTCTTTCTTTTTCCCCGACTTTTTCAGTGAGTTTTTTAATTTCGGCAGTCGCATCTGACTGCGGCCTGCTACCCCTCACTTTGTGTGCTACCGCCTCCGTTGTCTGTGTCTGGTGTTAAGCCGGTGTGTGGGGAGCAAGACTGATAAAAGACCCGTTTTCTGGATTTCGGTAAGCCACGGTGACTAGAAGAATGGTGTTTGGGGTTTGGGAGGTGCTTGTTACACTAAAAATGGAGTGGCTCTCCAATATCATTCTTTCACATGGCGTCCAGAATGTTGTTCCATATTTTGTTGGATGTAAAAGAGCATGCTTCTTACCTAACCCAGTTTAAACTGGCAGCCACACCCCATACTTTTGACCACTAGTGCTCATTTGATTTTCCTCGAAACCCAAGCTCTCGAAGCTATAGCCCTATTGCTCCTTTTCTATTTTTCCTCACCTCTCTCTCTCTCTCTCTCTCTCTCTCTCTCTCTCTCTCTTATTCGCATTCCTGTAATTGGGCATACTGTAAAACATTTAATCTTAGGTGCATTAAAATTTCGGTGTCAGGGACTTGCCAGGTTTCAGGTGTAATGTAGAATTAGGTGACCAGCGTTCCCTTTCACATGCAGTACATAATCTCGTGCCTTTTAGGTGTAATTTTAATTTTAGGTGCCTGGTTTCTCTACCGAAATCACCGAAATTGAAGTTACAACGAAAGTTACATATTTTACAGTACTTGCCAGTTTGAATCGCAAATTAAAATAAACACAACAACAACCTGCTCAAGGAATACTCAATGCCTCCATAATGCAGAGCCTTATGTTTCTCAAATGTGGTGCCTGTTTAGTGGAAATCAGATAGAAGATAACTACCAGATTCTGTCGATAAACAGTCAACCCCGGTTAGAAGTCGATCTCGGCTATAACTACTTCCTCCGCATCATTAAAATTGTCGCTTCCCAGAGCGATTTTTCGAAAATTATTTTGTCCACTCGAAGGGCACAGAAATCAGCTAGAAATTGAGTCAGAGCATTGTCGACGGGCCACGCTTTAGTTTGTGACCCCCCGCTTCGCTGCACTTGCAGCTAAGGTCGACGTCTTCATCAGAGTTTGAGGCAGACCCTTCAGCACTCAACAATACGCTGAACAAGACGCGCGTTCAAATTCAGGTCAAGAAACTTCGTTTTCAGGCGATCCATGCCTCCAGGTGCCAGGCGATGAAGGCAAGCTAGCATTTTTCAAGTACACTGTAACGACCTTCCAGCGGGACAGGGTAAGCAGTTCCGCACCTTCTTTCCTTGGCAAGCGCTTCGCTGATTTTGTTGGTGTTTTCAGACCTGCTACCTTCGCAGCAACATGCGCCACAAGTAGCGCATTTTAGGAATTTGAGACCACTTTGTTCTTGCCATCGCCAACTTCAGCAGTTTGTATTCAGGAGAGAAACAAGGATTCTTATACCCGAGCTTGCAGTCTTGACAAATGCCCACGCGAACGATGTAGGACGGCAAGAACACCAGAAAACGAAATGCGCTCTGGGGCGGAATAGTGCGGAGCGAGATGAATTTGCTTGGTGCGGAAGAGAGCTCTGACAAAGTTCGAGACCACCACGGCTTCAGTGACAAGTAGACATTGCGCAGGAAGGGTCACACCAGTGTTCGAACACAGAAAACAGCGATTCCGACAGTGTGACTAGGACGAGCCAAGTCACAAACATTGCGATGTGCGAAGCGACAATTTTAATGATGCGGAGGAAGTAGACTCCACCTCGTACTTGGGCTTTGATTTCCCGGAAACTTGTCACTCACTCCTTTTTTTGATTTTAGGTCATAAATGGTCGACTAATCCAGGGGGTCAGAAGGAATTAAATTAGTAAGTGGTACGGTTAGCCATCTGAAGTATAATTCACTCGTAGGGGAGGGGTGAGTGAGTAAAATATTTTGGAAATCTATATCCCAGATCAGCGTATTTTATTGATTCACGGGGTACCTGGAGCAAAAAACTGGTACGGTCAATACCGTAGTGACCGCACCGTGTCCGACACCCCAGTAATAAATGGTGAAATCAGGCAATAGATTGATTAGCTCTTACTTTTTTCACAGACATACTGCGTATGATGGACAGGATGAGCATTGCACCAGAATTCTGACCACCTGCCGTCCAAACGACTCATTACGTAGCAGTCAGACGATGACGGAAACGGATTCCGAACCCCAAAATTTCGGTATGTCGAGTTGCTTCCGCTGACCCATATTGGCATTCCCTCATTTCTCTGAGATGGGTAACAGATTAGGGAAAGAGACAACTAAAGCAGTGAAACAAACCATTCATTGGTGTGAGGGAAAGATACAAACGAGAAAAGTCAGAAGAAAAAATTGACTGTCGCCACCAGGAAAAACAAACGACTCATTACGTAGCAGTCAGACGATGACGGAAACGGATTCCGAACCCCAAAATTTCGGTATGTCGAGTTGCTTCCGCTGACCCATATTGGCATTCCCTCATTTCTCTGAGATGGGTAACAGATTAGGGAAAGAGACAACTAAAGCAGTGAAACAAACCATTCATTGGTGTGAGGGAAAGATACAAACGAGAAAAGTCAGAAGAAAAAATTGACTGTCGCCACCAGGAAAAACAAAGTAAGGAAAAATGACCCTAATTTTGATGTTTTCTTACATTATTCCCTGTTACCCATGAGGCCACACCGAGTATTTTCTATGTTTCACGTCAACGTTAATGTACCTTTCGAATCGTTGACAAGAAAAAAAAGTACTCAGACGAATCAATCGATGGCTGTTCTGGCGAAAACTCTAGCCAGTATGAATGAGATTATCAGCTTCTTGGCACGAAAATTGCCTGGTAAGGACGGTGTTGTAGCACACGTTTCCGACAACTTTGTGTCGGTGTGCAACCCAGTCAGTCGATCATGTCGGAGTCGGTGTCGCAGGGTTGGGCTAAAAATCGGCCAAGTGCGGGCCAGGCATTAGTCTTATGCTCTGGGTATGTGTGCAATATAGTTATAGGTTAGCGCATGGCTGGGAGGGTCGTATGGCTTGTTAGTGGCCGACAGGTTAGCTTGATGGCTGTAGGCATGAGCCCTTTTCTCTTCTATAAATTTATCCTTGGCTCTCCATCCGAGTTCATACTTTCCAGGGTAGTAGAATTATGTTGTTTCGTGAAGGAAGCATAGTGATGGCGAGGCTTGCTGCCCTCTGCCAACCTGGGGTCTCCGCATCATGGATGGGGACATCAACGGGCTCAAGATCACCAGGAAAGAGAAGTAACAGGTGCATGAAGTACATGTATAGATAATGCTTTCAGGATCTGTAAAGATAAAGCTTTCATGACCGGTGCACAGTTTACGTAATCACTCACGCCCATATCGTGTAGTCCAATCCAAATTCCGTTTTCAATCTGCCGAGCAGCGAACGTCTCAAAAATGAACTGGTTTTCAGCAGCATCATTGATCGTGACAAGCTCGCCCGTACCAAATGCTTCACAGTTGCGCTTCGCAAATGGCCAGTCACCACGGCTTACGTCCATAGTGTACCGATGTCCATTGTGGCCTGAATGAAACAAAAAGAGAAGGTATTTTCATTTGTTCCGCCTCCCAGTTCAGAACCCATGTGAGCACATGAAGTTTAAATTTCATGACACTGGTCGCTAGCAAAAGCTGATAAAAGATTTTTTGTTTTCGTGGAACGGGTTGTTGCCATGATCCTGCTCCTTCCTGCCGTCATATTCCTGTTGTAGGGGTTTGTGTATCTGTCAGTTACATGATGATTCTTGGCGCGAGCCCGGAGAGTGCCTTTCTCACCTGCAGAAAGTGTATTTCGGGCGATAATAATGCACAGCTCAACAAGGCGAGAATGATGTCGAATAGATATTTTTTATGAAATGCTACCCAATCAGGCCAGGGCCAATGGACTTGGACACTAGGGAGGGACGGGGGGGGGGGGGGGGGGCTTGGGCTGCAAAGCTAGTTTGTACCTGCCGCATTGAACACTGTACAATCATGTACATCCACTTCAAAGGTATATGGTGCTGTCAGATACCCAGATTTGGCGAAGTTCCCACTTCAACCAGAGTGCCGGACAAACTGGAACTGTGGTCTTGGTGTGATATACAATATACATGTAGTGATGGTTGCGTAATCAAACTCACACCTCCATTTGCCAAGGTAGTTCTAATAATTATCGCACTTGCAAAGAGGACCAAATGTGTTGCGACAGTTTTTCCATCAGTTGAGTGAGGCACCCAGTGTTCTTGCTCAGGATGGACATTGTAGAAGATGGGAGGGGGAGTTCCCATTATTGACATTATGGTTGTGTGTTACTCGTGCTTTTTCATTGTAAATTTAGTCCAAACTCTCCCCCCCCCCCTTCCCTCCCCCGTCCCCCTATGTACTCTCTCATCTGCCTCACTTGCCAAACTAGCAAGCAACAGGATACACATTTATACGACACTAACCACACACAGTTGTTACTAGCGGGGGGGGGGGGGGTGGGTGGGGGGGGACGTATGTGGGAAAATGTGGACGGACCACTTGATCAACAGGATCGTAGCTGCTCCTTATCTCTCCCTGCCCCCCCCCCCCCATCACACACAGAAATATTTGCACTGCTAGGCTAGGTGAGAGATACATGTACATGTATGCATTTGTAAACTTCGCAAGAATGTTGACTTTGCGAAAAGCTTTCGATGCAGATTATTTAAACAATCGGTTTTATGTGACTGCGTTTCACTGATAAAAGTCACAAGTAAACGTTACGAAACTTAACTTTCTTCATTTTTTGCTGTTGTTATGAGTGCACAATTTATCTTATTTATTGCCATTTACGCAGATTATGTGTGGTGCTAACTGTGCGATTCGGGTTTTTTATTCGTATCCCATCTCCGACTCGAGAATTTCCATGACTTTGTAGTTGGCAATCACGATTCATGTAGGTATCATGACGGTTTCATCCGTGGTCTTCATCATCAGTCCTTTTCCAGTTGGGGTTTTCTCAAAGTGCTTTTTTCTCACTTGGTTCATTTGCTTAGCGCTAGTCTTCCGGCCTCAGGCATGCACATTATCCTTACAGCTTGCAGTACGAAAGGTGATTTTTCAATAACCGAGCCATTCCACAATATCAACCTTATCTATCAAGATTTTTACACTCGAAACAGCTGTATGAAGGAATTCAGTGCCAACAGACGTGTCGCTGTGCCGGTGGTGTGCTGCAAGAACGTGTCGACGTAGGCTGGAGAACGCAGTTATGGTGTGGTGCATGATGAAAAAAAACTTGATAATCATAACAACACCGTGAAAAGGAGTCCAGTGAAGTGTTTTTTTGGTGCAGGGTTCCGCTTGTTGAATATCCTTTGCTGAATTGGGTGAAAACTAAGTACTAGACTAGCACCGTATTTCCCCGATTATAAGTCGCACCCCCATTTTCAGGTTTGAGCAATCATGTTTTGATATATTCACTTCAGTACTAAGTCATGCTCGATTGTAAGTCGCATCCCCTTTTTTACCCTTGAGTTTTAGTGCAAAAAGATCCCACTTATATTCGGGGAAATATGGTAGTCACTAAGAAAGTGGTGGACCTCACGCATGCAATATAAAGACAAGGGGATTATTAAACTGACAACCGCTCTATTTAGGTGCTATTCACACTTGGCACATGCGCTGTGACTGGACCAAAACGTAATCATTTTTCGACATCACAATAGAAAAAATTTGATCCATCGCATGTGCCGAGTGTGAATAGCAACTGAATAAAGCGGTTGTCAGTTGACAAACCCCCTTTTCTTTAGAATAGTAGTGTTGTGATAATTTCTAGGGCTCAAACGATTAGTCCGATTAACCGGTTGCAGACCGGTTACGAAGAATTAACGGTTCACCGATAAAGATAACGGTTACGCAGTAACTTTTCAGTCAATTTTTCAAGTATCAGGTCGTTGCAAAGTGTGCACTTTCGCGGGCTGTCGCACTTGTACGCAATTTCTGGGCTGTCAACTCGGTCATATCTGGTCTCTTGGTGTGAGAGTATGTATGAATGAGCATGCAAGAGAATGCACAAGTGTGCGTTGTACTGAATAGGGTACATTTTTTGAATGAGTATAGTCAAATATACGGTTAAAAAAGAGTCCGCAGGATTGCCGTGGCTTATAGGTTATAACCGGTTAACCGACCGTTAGCTTAGCAGTTAACCGTCAGGGGTAAAACCGTGACCGTTTGAGCCCTAATAATTTCTCCATAGACACATTCCTATTTCCTCTCCATATCTCAACTTCACACCGCACCCCTTCCTAGTCATTCATCTCTCTTACTCTCATTCCTCTTCGCTCTCTCTATTAGTGCATCTCACTCACGCACATTATAACGTACATGATTGTATATGTTCCGCGCAATCTGAGAGTTGCGCTGCATATTGCGCAGGCAATCTGGAATTGCGCAGGTAATCTGGAATTCTCAGATTGCGCAGCGCAATCTGGAGATTGCGAGGAACATAATACACTACGTTTTGCATACACACGTGTAAAAAAAATCAAACATCAACATCAAACATACAGACATTTCACGCACACACGCACGCATTTGTGCTCGCACGCACTAAAACACACATGCCCACACACACGCACAAACACACATTACACACGTGACAGTGGTTTGCATTCGCAGCATCAAATGCCTGAACATCTGACAGGTGTGAAAACAGGGAAGTCGTTTTTTTAAAGCAAATGTCAACGACAAAAGCGAAAGTAAATTCAACTGAGCGAGAAAATTCTACCACGTTATTAGCACTTACAAGCAACTATCTGGGCGTTTTGAGCTCCGCAAACAGTCACAGAAACTAACCACAGGAACGGATAGAGACGCCGGTCCATCATCTATTCGGCGCTCTAGGCAGTGAGTATTTCCGCAGCTACCCGTACATCTACGTGCACGTCTCCTCTAGCTCACCACAGGTCGGAATTCCTATTCTGCTAGTTGATTGCATTTGTTCCTCAATTCTCTACAGGAAACACAGTACTATATCTAGTGAGGGGAAAACTAACAATAAAAACTCCTTTCCACACTTGACATGCCGGTTGTGGATCCGAAAAGTGCAGTCGCAGGAAAGACACCACACTACTACTACTAGGCAGAGCAGCCTACTTGAGCGGAATCTTGCGACGTGTGAGCAGGCCGTGGCCGGCTGGGTGCCACTGCCAGGTGAGAGATTCTTGCGTTGACACTGTTTGGATTAGCACCAAGTGCATGATTGTGCTTGTGTCCCACTGACAGTGACGGTAGATCTACTCTGTAGCTGTGCTGGTCACGATGACTCCTCAGGGCTTTCACTCAGCTGCAGAAGGAGCAAAGCTTTTGAAAGCAAAACTCCACTGTACATGTACAATACATACACGCCAGTGCCAGGCACAGATCACGAAGGCAGAGCTACAGAGTCTACCGCATGCAAAACACGACAACAAAATAAGTCCCGGTTTGTACAGTGTAGTAGATGTACACACATGATTTTGCTACATGGTCACCAGGTCACTCGACCCGTGAATGCGTGGTGCTCCGAGATGTCTCGCAACTACATAATTTGTAATACTTAGTATGTGAAACGCGAAGGTTGAAGTGGTAGATCTACACAGTGTATTGTTATAGTAGGCTTTGGAAATTTTTATTTTCATTGCTCTCAGGTTCGGCCTCATTTTCTCTGTGCTGCGCTGAGTAGTAGTAGTAGTACTTGGTCCGCGTCAGCAATATTGTCGCTTATCTTTCGACAATTTGAACTTAGACTTTGGACATGAACGCGTGCACTTGAAGTGATAAAACTTGGTGCGATGGACGGTAAGGTATAGAATGACAACTAGCTGCGAGGAATTTATTGTCCAAGGAAGGGTTCCTACTTTTTTCGGTCCTCCTCGTCGCTGCTCTCGTCGCTGGCGACAAATATTTTTGCTCGGGATCGACTCTCTTGCTTTTGCAAGCTCATCTCTCTTCCTCTCCGCTGCCTGGCTATTTTCTAAAGAGAAGTCGATCGTGACGGTCGCCTTCTCAATAGGACTTCGCGTGGGCAGCACGACAGCCTGTATGGTTCAAATCAGACGCCGTTCTTTGCAAGATTTTATTTTGAACGACGACTACGCGTACAGTACTTGCAAATCTCCACGATGCGCTAGATACTCCGAGCGTTGAGCTGGAGGTAAGGGAGCTGCGATCTCAGCTTGATGAGCGATCCCTGAGGTGAGCGATCTCGGCCGTTCAGCAAAATGGAGCTGATTCCGAGCTGATTCCGAGTAGCCGATTACTTTCTTGTGGCTTGCGCTGCTCTTGCCTGCACAGCGTAAAAAATAATCTATTTTGATGCGGCGCTGTATCAATCAGAATCGCCCACCTTTCGCTCTTGAAATCCACTCGAACTCTAGCTAGACCTTTCAGGTACTAGCAAACTAACTTGCTAACCAAAATTGGGATGAAATGGGCTGCCAAGTAAGCATTGGCGATATATAAACAAAGCTGAAAGATAAGCGACAATATCGCTGACGCGGACCAAGTAGTAGTATTTATTATTTGACTAGGGGAGTCCCAACAGGCATGGCCTTGTTACAGGGAACCCTAGGTGAATCTTTGTGAGGTGAGCAAAAGTACCAGCAGATTGTGCCTGACGACAGTTTGGAGGAAGAGTGTTCCACCGACCTGCCGCCAGAAAAGAAACTGAGCGCAGTCCATACCCAATATGTACAGTAGGTAATACTAAGGCAGCTGTATCCTGGCCACGAGTACGAGCATTTGTGTGCGGGCCAACTGAACGCAGGAGAAACAGTGACTGAAGGAGGGGGCTAGTAATTGATGACAAGCAGCGATAGACCAAAACGTATAGTTTCAAATTAACTCGTTGCTCAAACGAATACAGATGACACCGTTGTAAAACTAATGCAGTTGGGGTCATTCTATCTAAACCAAATGCCTTCTTCATCGCAATATGGCTGACCGTTACAAGCCTGTTATATAGGGTAGTTTTCAAACAGTGCACATACGCATTACTTGCATAGTCTAGAGTAGACTGTATAATTGACAAGAAGAAAGTTCTCCGAGCTGTAGCTGATAAATTGCGACGGCCATGAGCAAAACAGGCTAGTTTAGCGAAGACCACTGAACACACCTTTTCTACTTGTGGGCGGAACGTTAGATGCTCATCGATTAGTATACCGAGGTATTTCACAGTAGAGACAGGGGAAATGACAATACCTTTACAGGTCAGGTACAGGGCTGGGCTCAGTGCAGGCAGGGCAGGACGCCGTATCAACATGAACTGTGTTTTAGTGGGGTTGAGCAGAAGGCCTTTCTCATCAAGGTATTGCTCTAGCAACCGCATACTGAGGAGTTCACAAAGAACGAAACAGCATGCTGTCCGCAGATTGAGTACTTTCGCTCATGCTCTTGTAAGTTGTAGTAGTTGAGCACTCTCATGTGGGGGTGGTGCCTTTGCTGTTTGCATTTCGCAGAGCTCACTGACTTGTCAGTTTGAGCACTCTGGCAAGGTACGTTCGGGCCTGATTTACATCTGGCTTTGGAAATTTTATTTTCATTGCTTTACAGGTTCGGCCTCATTTTCTCTGTGCTGCGCTGAGGAGTTCACAAAGAACGAAACAGCATGATGTCCGCAGATTGAGCACTAGTATTACATAAACCTTGTTTTGTTGAAATATTATAATTATTGTTGGTTGACAGCCTAACAAGGCGGAAAAGATGGTCTCCCACCGTATTACATGCTGTCAACCAACACCATGACTAGACTGTACCCTGTTGGTTGACTGCATGCGTGTAACAAGGTGGAGGACACCGTGTTCGGAAACAGTGACCTTTCGACAACCATCCACGGTTGGTAGAGCCCCAGTCAGTTGCCACCATCTGAACGCCATGGATGTTAGACCAATCAGACACTCTCTGTTCTTCTAGCGGTTTCACTTTCAGACGTCTCGTACCGTCAGTCTTAAGTTGTAGTCTGTGATGGCTCCTGGATGTCTTCTTGATACATGTACTCGTGAACTTAGTAGCAGCTAGTTTTGTTCTGAATAATGAATTGTTAGAATGAAGTTGAAGACACCACTGCAGCTGTACTTATGCGCCAGGCGCGAACTGATGGTGGTGGTGGTGAGAAGGAGAGCTCTGTGCCAGAACTTTGCAGCCTAGAGAGCGTGTGTGGGCAGGCGTGTGTTTACCGCCATACTGCCAGGTGTGTCTTTACCACCATATTTATCAACCATAATGAATTGTTCTTTCTTTCTTCTTTTTAAGCTCTTTTTCTTTTTCCAGCTTCTTCCCATGGCGTCCCTCTCTCTCTCTCTCAGCTCGTCAGCTGCCAATAGTCACTGTCAC